GTGGCTTTTGCGCTCATTAAGCAGTGTGATCCTAGATTTAAAAGCTTCATGCATGATTAACGTCAATTGGGAAATGAAGAGATACTATTTCATCTAACTGGCAATAAAGTAGAACAGTATCAATCATTTGAGACAATTTCATACCTTGCCAACACCAATACGCATAGTCAGAGGTCTGCCACGTTTGTAGCTGCTGTCAAAGACTGTCCCATCAGCAAATCTTGCGGTGTAGTGAACCTGCATTCGTTTTAGCAGGTTATTGTGTTATTACATTGTGCTTGATAAAAACTGAAGTTTAAGAGAAATGGAGAGTAACATGATACACAGGTAAGGTTTTTAGTAGTTTATTCATCTGAATCTTGGTATATCATTTCCGGTCATTTATTTTCTAAACATGTACTCTGCAGTTTTGTTTTGTTTCTGAAGTTCTGCACATAAAGGAGAATGTTGGTGAGTATTTTAGGCTGAGGCTAATTACATTGTCAAGTTTCTCTCTTTAATAGTGTAAATTTTTGGGATCGAACAACTAATTAACAGGCCAAGAAGATGAAATCATAAAACTGATTTGAACAGACCAAACAGATGCTGCTTGTATATTTGGTGCAAGTGAGTCAAGAATTTCTCCCCCGGCAGGTGAGGATTAGTTTCACTAAATATAGGAAGACAATTACTCTCTATGAAGGAATGAGCGTTTAGATGGACTTTTATGGTTTTCAGAAGCTTGTTGCAGAGAAGTCCTACAGGTTTCTGGACATTTGACGTCATGACAATATATTCAAGGCATACAAAAACTATTTTTTTGAGAAGATACAAAACCTAGGGAATGTATGTATGGCGAATGAACACGAATCAAGAAGGGGAAAATCATGAGTAAAGTCATGCTTGGAAAAAAGTTCAATACCAAGGTTTGAGAAATGTTCTGGATTCATATTACTGAAACACAATCAACTTCACTTGTATCTCTCTTTCCCAATGTTTTGATCACATATGATATGAATTCATGTCTTATATACTTGGGATTTTAGAGAGACAACAGCTTTAAAATTTTCTTCATAGTCAGTGTATTTGATATCCATTAAAAACTACCAAAACTTCAAATTCAGTAAAAATACAACAATGACAAACCAAACCAAGATTAGTTTTCCATGTTCAAGTAAAACTGAAGCAATTAAGCACAATTAGAGGATATCCCAACAAAAAAGTTTGTATTTTTATTTCAAAATATATCGGAAAAACTCACATTGATGAGCTCACCACGAGGAGCGTCCACACCAGAACCCACTGAAACATCACAGAAGCCAAGCCCAGAACGAACAAAGTTCAGTTCACACAAAGGCTCCCCCACAGTGGCGTAGTATTCAATTCTTGTGGCATTAGCTTCCAAAGGTGACAATGCCACAAGTGAAGCTGCTAAAAGCCCAAAACCCACATCCAAAACACTCTGCTTGGTCACAAATTTTGAAGCCCAAGACACCTTTGCATTGTTTTCAGCTGTGGACGGTGAAGAAGATGAACAATAACAAGTGGGTTTGGAATTGCAGGAGGAAAAGGAGGTTGTAGGATGAAGGCTTTGAATATGGGGGAGGGGCTTTGGAGTTGTAAGGATTAGAGCAGAGACCTTCATTCTTCTTTTTGGCTTTTTTTTTTTTTTTT